CCGCGTCCCGGGCCGCCGCCGCAGTCGCCACTTGTGGAGCTCTTCCCACCGGCGGCTGTAACTTGAAACTAGCCCGAGCCAGGCCTATTTTTATTCAGAAACCAGCGACCAGAGTGTCTGCGGGGAGCGCTCCGATGGAGGGCTAGCCCGCCACTTGAAGACTTTCTCACCGATTGGCGGGGAAGGCACGTCTTGTCCTACTAGACTTTTTTTGAGATTTCAAAGTTCTGCTGCAACTTGCAGAGAGGGCCAGATTGGTTGCTGGGGGGTCTCTTTGATGAGAATGTTGTTGCCCGAGCCCCGGGGCAGCTGTACCTGAACCCTATCGCTCTGCCTCTAAGCTGTCCTGGGGCCACCACGCGTGAGCCCGGCCCCAGCTGTGGTCTGGCCACCCTCCTGCAGGAATCGCTCCAAGAGCTCCTAGGGACACTCGCGGTGGGGAAGAGCGAGGAGATGAATGTAGCAGCCAAGTACCGCCAGGCCTCCCTGTATGTGGGTGACCTCCATGCAGATGTCACCGAGGACCTGCTGTTCAAGAAGTTCAGCACTGTGGGGCCTGTGCTGTCCATCCGCATCTGCAGGGACCTGGTCAGCCGCCGCTCTCTGGGCTATGCCTACGTGAACTTCCTGCAGCTGGCTGATGCCCAGAAGGCCCTGGACACAATGAACTTTGACACTATCAAAGGCAAATCCATCCGTCTCATGTGGTCTCAACGTGACGCCTACTTAAGGAAATCTGGGATTGGGAACGTGTTCATCAAGAATCTGGACAAATCCATTGATAACAAAACCCTTTATGAACATTTTTCAGCATTTGGGAGGATCTTGTCCGCCAAGGTGATGAGTGATGACCAAGGCTCCCGGGGCTATGCGTTTGTTCACTTCCAGAACCAGATTGCCGCAGACAGGGCCATTGAGGAGATGAATGGAACACTGCTTAAGGACTGCAGGCTGTTTGTTGGCAGATTCAAAAACCGCAGAGATAGAGAAGCCGAACTCCAAAACCAAGCCAATGAATTCACCAATATTTACATCAAAAACTTTGGAGATGGCATGGATGATGAGAAACTGAAGGAAGTTTTCAGCAAATATGGCAAAACCCTGAGTGTTAGGGTGATGACAGATTCCAGTGGGAAATCCAAAGGCTTTGGCTTTGTGAGTTTTGATAGCCATGAGGCTGCCCAAAGGGCTGTGGAAGAAATGAATGGAAAGGACATAAACGGACAGCTGCTTTTTGTAGGCCGGGCACAAAAGAAAGCAGAGCGACAGGCCGAGTTAAAGCAAATGTTTGAGCAGCTGAAACAGGAAAGATTTCGGAGGTGCCAGGGGGTGAAGCTCTATATTAAGAACCTCGATGACACCATTGATGATGAAAAACTACGGAGGGAATTTTCTTCATTTGGATCAATTACCAGAATTAAGGTAATGAAGGAAGAAGGGCGAAGCAAAGGGTTTGGCTTGATCTGCTTCTCCTCGCCTGAAGAGGCCACTAAAGCAATGACTGAGATGAATGGCCGCGTCTTGGGCTCCAAGCCGCTCAACATCGCCCTGGCCCAGAGGTCCTAGGAGGGAAAACTTCCAGTGCCTGGCAGTGTTTGTGGCAGGTGGGGGGATGTTAGTGATCTCTGCCTGAATTGGCCTCAGTAAATTTCAAACCCCAGCTGATGGCTGCTTAGTTTATGTAACTTTCTGATAAAGGTTTTGGACACAAAGCTATTCTTTTTTCTTTTTTGGAAAGATAAATGAATCTTAGAAGCTTGATGCATTTTACAGAGGCACACCTTCTAGTTACAATATTGCATATTTTTCTGATTTTGATGTATTCACAGCAAAAAGCGTAATCAGATATGTTTATATTACATGTGAACCAACTGAAGTGAGGTAATTATTTGAGTTTATTGCATGTTTTCTTTCTTATTTTAATAATATTGCTAGCTTTAATTTCTTCTATGAAAATATGCTCAAAATAGTTCTCACACCTAAGGATGGCAAAGTAATTTATTTTTATGAACAGAAATTTTCTAATTTCTCATCTGTTTTTTTTAAAAAAACCAAAAGTTTAAAAATGGCTAGTACAAATTCAATATCTAATTTCATTTTGAGTTAATGTTTAAAGTACTGGGAAATAGTTGAATTTCTTTTAAATTTATATCCTGACGTTTTTCTGATGGCTAAAATTAATGATGGAGGTTTTTCATGCTGCGTACAAACCTGCTTTATAGGATATTTTGCTATTCTTTCCATTGGTTGACTATAATTCAGGTGCTTACTATTTATCAAAAATGTGACTTGAATAGTAAAACCTTAACTCTTACATTCCTTAAGTTCTAAACTTGTATCAATTCAGGAGACAAAAAGTTTCCCTGGTCTTAATTCTCTTCATACCTATACAGCTTAATTTATGCCTTAAGTTTTTACCGGATAACCAGTATTATAAAAGTCATATATATAGAACGTAGAAATTCTGTTTAACAACTGTGTTTTTTAATCTCTGTTTTACATTGTTCCATGCAGTGATATTGTCTCAGGTTCAGAAAAGTAAAAGTTTCTTTATTTTTATGAACTTATATCTCCCTTTATTAGACTGTGAGAGCTTTGTAACCCATTAAGGTTCACTTTTAGCCTTTGATCAGAAGCTCACTAATTGATTGTCTGATAAATTGAAGTTACATCACTTAGACTGTTGTGTAGCATGATTTTTGTTAGTACCATTCTCAGATCTTTCCTTCTCTCCTGCCTTTTGTCTATGTTACTCAGCTCCTTTTTATACTTTTAAAAAGAGTTTTATTATATTGACTTTTACTATGTGCTGTTTGAAGTCCACTTTGGAAGTAGAGGCAAGAGTTACTTATTTACATTTAAATAATAACTTAAAATTCTGATTCACTCATACCAAGGATGTCTAGAAAATACTTTTGTTGTTCTTGTTTCTATTTTATTTTTTTTACTCTGCTTAATTGTTTCCTGTAACCGTATATTCAGATCTTCTGTTTTATATATTACCAGTGCAAAAGGAATATTAAAATATTTTTCTTTGGCAATACTTTAGCTATAAAAGAATGAGAAAATCTGTTTGTATTTATTTTTGTATAAACTATATGTATATTCATTGCACGTTTTCTAAATTAAAAGTCTTTTATAAAATGAAAAAAATTATGGGAAATGAAATAAATTACAGCAGCATATAATCCTATTAATGCAGATTTGTTAAAATTTGTTGCATATATATAGATACGTAGATAATTTTTTAAAAATGGAGTCATATTATAAACCTTGTTTGAAATTGCTTTGTTCATTTGACAATATGCCATAATCAACTTCCATGTCCACAAATAATTATTTTCATTATAATTTTAATGACTTATCTTTTGTTCAATGTTTGTACCATAATATAACAAATTTCCTCTTGATAAATATATAGGTTGCTAGATTGTTTCCTTCCTTTTTCTTTTTTCCTCTATCATAAACAACTTGGAAACAGACATCCTTGCAAACTCATGTTTGCTGATACAGCCAATTAGTTTCTTAAGAAAATGTGTAATTCATTGGAATTAATGTTTAAAAAGACGACAGTTTTAAAAATAGTTTTGGTACATATTGACCAGATGCTGTGCAGAAAACTTGTGCCACTTCCGTTTCCATTATCAGTGTGGAGGACTGGCCACTTCCATATACTCTAAGAACAAAAGATTTTTTTTAAATTGTTGACTAATTTAACATGATATGTAAAATAAATAAAATAAATAACATGATATGTAAAATAAAATATTTCATGGTTACTTTATTTTACTTTTTTTTATTACTACAAAAGTTAAAAAATATTTCTTGTATTTATTGGCCATTTATATTTTCATATTTGTGAGCTAATGTTTTATGATTTTAGTCTATTTTCTTATTGGGATGTTTTTTATTTATGTGGATTTGTTAGATTTCTCTACATATTAAGGATAAAATTTTAGACTTTTTTCCTTGATATTCTCACTTCATTTATAGTTTTGAGAGTCATTCCAAAGTTAAGTTTTTAAACTAAAAGTTTTCAATCTTTTACTTGGATAGCTTTGATGTTATGTTTCAAAACACTTTGAAGATACCTCAAATATATATATCCCCCCCAAAACACACACACAATTCATCTGCATTGTCTTCTATTACTTGCAGAGTTTCATATTCTCAATATTTGTTAACAAAACTTTTGTCTATAGACTATCTTAGCCACAGCCTATTGGAGATCTTTTAAAAGTGTCTTGCTTTTCAATCTTTAGTAATATGTTTTGGTAAATACTGATCTACTGTAAGAATCTGTGTGAAACTCATATGCCAACTCTAATTTATTGGCTCTCTGAATCACTGTGTTGAGAAGTGTTTATGTCAAAAACACAGAGTTTTTGAGAAAGGGTACCGGGCAACCGATGTGTCAAGCCTCGACATCTCTTTCTGGATAATGCAGTCTGTCAAAATGTTCAAATATTTGAATAATATTTCATTATGCTTGTAAATGGATTATCAAGGTAATGCCAGGGACTGAGTTCTCCTCTCTTATGTGCACAAGGAATTAATAGGACGTAATACAAGATGTCTAGATGAATTGTAGCTATAGCTTCATGACACAATAACCTCCCATTTTGGTAGAAATTGCTTATTTTTAATATTTACCATAAGAAATGACTAAGTCAGTGTACAAAAATATATGATCCTGTGGATTGTCTTGATTAATTTATTTAAATTCTGCTCACTCTAAATTTCTTTGGAATGTAGATTTAGAATAATATCAAGTCATCCTAGTTGGCAGTAGAGGTTCATTCTTTCGAGAATATGTAATCTTGTATGCTTAAGTGCCTTGATAAATAAGAAGAATCTTCACTTTTCTGATAAGCATTCCAGTAAAAGCTAATTTACTTAGGGATGCCTTGAGCCACTGCTCCTACTCGCTGACTCCCTCTCCTCACACATTGCCAAGTTTGTTGTATAGATGCCTGCTTGCCTCTACAGCCAATTCGATAAATATATGCCTTTCAACATTTTATTTTTAAATTTTTTAATGGAAATTTATGGTTAGTAAAAATAAACTTTTTAAAGTGGTTTAGAATTGCTATTTTTATGTTCTTAATATTTTTATAAATCCATTGAGAAAAGATTAAATAAAATCTAATCTTTCAACGGTGAAGACATGTCTGAAAATTATTTTTATTTATTTAATTTTTAAGTATTTCTAATTGTCTAAAGATCAGTTTCTCTTAGGAGTAAACTGAAAACAACTTGCATTTTTAAATGAAGATACTCGTATTTCATGTTTTAAAAGACCAACTCCCACATGAACTAGTGTTTCTTTTTTGAGTTACTCATAATTATGGGACCATGATTGAAAAGAACCACTAATATATATCAAGTTTTCATGAGGACTAATTGACTATTTTAAAGACACATCTGAATTTAATTGTTAAAGTAAAATTCAGCTAACTTGTTGAGGATTTAGAATTAGCTTACTTGTACTATATTTAGAAAATATGCCTCATAATGTAATTTTTAAAAAAATAGATAATAAAACAGTAGATAGAAAAGAGAATTTTTGAAAGCTACTTTTTAAAAAGTAGAACAGCGGCTGGCCAGGTAGCATAGTGGTTAAGTTTGTGCACTGTGCTTCGGTGCAATGGGGTTCAGATCCCAGGCATGGATGTACACACCATTCATCAAGCCATGCTGTGGTGGTGTCCCACATACAAAATAGAAGAGGATTGGCACAAATGTTGGCCCAGGACCAATCTTTCTCACTAAAAAATAAGTAGAAGAAATTAAATATCCTCAGAATATCTTTGGCTTCAAAGAGCAGAAAATCCTAACTCACTAGAAAAAGAAATTTTACCTGACAAAATATTTAGAGTTAAGGTATCTTCAGGCATGGTATCTCAGGACTTCTGTACCAGTTCTCCTGGAGTCTCTAGGCTCTTCTGTCTCCATATCTTAGCTTCATCAGGCAGATGGCAGGATGTTTGCAGGAATTCCTATCATCACATTGAGACACAGCAACATTCAGAAGGTGATGCCTTTCCTAGAAACCTTTTACCAACTTTCCCCTTCAGTTCTCATTTTCCATTATTGGTATGTAGATTCAACAAGATCTTCCACTAGAATTGATGAAGGAGTCAACTTTCTAAATACTATGCAGAATGGGCTTATAAAAGGAAAAAATGAGAGTAGACATGGATGTAGGGGTATGCATCCACTAAACCCTGAATATTTTTTATTATTTATATCTAATTTTGAATTTCAGTACTTATTTGATGTTTTCTTTCTTTTAACTTTTGCTTACAAATAGTTCTTAAAATTCCATTTTCTCTCTACAAATAGTTTTCAACACTTGAATCAAACTGGTGATTTTCCTCTACCTCAAGTGGTATAATCCTAGGGAATAAATTATGCAGTATATTCTGTATAAAATGGAATTCATTTTTGTTTGGTAATGGGACTCATGTTTTTACATATCATATTCTTATTAGGACTAAATTAGGCATCTACTGGAAATTATATCTGAAAAGGTCAGATTCAATTTAGTCACCTAAATGGGTTTCCACCAAAAATAATTATCAACAGATTACAAATGGTCAAGAATGTTTCAAAATAAATCCACGTTTAATAAGGTATTGGTTTCTTGAGTTCTAATTTAAAGAAGTCTAAGCCAAATATATTTTCATGCATGTTAATGTTTTAGAACCGTACCACCAGAGGGAGGAGACTCTTAATTTACTGTGTATGTCACCAAGAATTGTAATATTCTATGAAAAGAATTTTAAAAGAGTAGCTCGTTCCTATTGACAATGTAATGAAAAAATCTTGAGAAAAATCTAAAAAGTTATATGCCTACAAAATGGCCCAATGTATAAAATTAACTTAACCACAAACATAAATTAGTGGGCACTCATTTTCTTTACTAAAGGATTTAGTATTAGATACTTT